GTGGTACCCGGGTTCTGACTATTCATATGTTGAATGTTTGCCTTGTGTGTGTCTCAGATTCCACCCCTGCTGACAGTGGTGTGCCCTGGTGATGGGACAGTGTCCTCAGTGTGCGTTTTAACCAGTTTCATCTCATAAACTGATGCAGGTGGAGAGAAGAGACCTGCACACTCATTTATTTTACAAATGAAACTGAAGCACAGAGAAGAAGGAAAGAATGATTAGTGCATGAAGTGGCATTTGAGATACTCATCATTTTTTCTCATTATCCACATCTGTTCCCACTCCTGTGGTAGATTAAAGGCCATAGATTCCTCCTTTCCCTGTATCCATGCCCCTTTGCAACTTTGCACTTCTTCCTAGTCCGAGGTGGAGTTTATTTCTCCACCCTTTTGAATCTGGGCTGGGTTTGTGACTTGATCTGGCCAATAGAATAAAGTATATGTGACATTATGCAATTACTGAGGCTCGGCCTTTAGAGATTGTATCTTCTGCATTTACCCTCTTGGAACGCTGCCCCGAGACCACTGTGTAAGCTGGTCTAGCCTACTGGTAGATTAGAACGTGGAGAAGAAACATGACACCCAACCCTCAGCCAGCACCAACTGCCAGACCTGCGAGTGAGGCCATCTTAGACTTTCCAGTCCAGCTGACCTTCCAGCTGAATGCTGCTCATGAGCGATCCCAGGTAAAACCAGGAGACAAACCTATTCAGCCACCCACAGACTTGTGAGAAATAATAAATTATGCTGTTTTAAGCCACTGAATTTTTGGGAGTGGTTTGTTCCACAGCAATAGATAACTGAAACAACTTCTGTGCTCCCATTATCATATCATATCATATTAAAGGACTTCACTGTTTACCTGGTTCTTTATGCCAATTCCCTTTCCCTCATAGCTCACATTTAATCTGTCACCACGCCCAGGGAATTTTATCTCCTAAATCCATATCAAATCCCTCTACTTTATACTTTCCCCACTTCTATGACATGAGTTCTTGTCTTCTTCATCTCTCACCTGGATTGTTACAGCAATCCCTGTGTTCCCTATCTCCTGTTTCCCTGCTCCCTGCCCTTCCCATCCCATCGTCATACCCACTACAGTCAGAGCTATTTTTCTTGCATGCATTTGTAACCATCGTTTAAACCTTTTGCTTGCAAGGTAAATTCCCAAATCTCTAACATGATTTATGGGCCTTAGACCATCTATCTGGCCCCTGCCTCTCTTTCCAGCCCCAACTTCCACCACTCCTCTCATGGAACCCTATGTTTCTAGAACTGCTTCACAGGTTCTGGTGACCTTCTGGCACCTGCTCTGGCTCCCCCATTGCATGAGACAACCCCCTGAAGGAGTCAGATGAAAACATTTGACCTGTCAACACATCTAAGTCCCTAGGCTGGCCATGAGGGACTCACTCTGGGGGGTAAATTTGAACCTTGTGATGATTTGAACGTTCCAAGTGACATCCATACTTATGCTATTACCTTTTCTAAGTGATGGATTCTCATTCAATAAAAAGCATAAATTTTATATTTCATCTAAAAACCAGGAGCTGGAGCAGGCTGATTAGTCTGGCAACTAGAAAAGATTTAAGGAAATTTTGTTTGTAGAACTCTTAATTACAAAGGTATTCACTGAGCAACCACAATTCTGGGGTCGAATAGAAAAAGCCCTGAACTTGGAGTCAGACAGACCTGGTATCTGGTTCTGCCATTTACCAGATATGTGACCTAGGCAGTCACTTGAATTTTCTGACTTCCCTTTCCTCATTTGTAAAAAGGGGATGACGATCCATACCTTGTATGATTGTATTGAGAACTAAATGAGATAAAAGACGTGAATGAGCCCAGTATATATTTTTTTAAATAATTTTATTTATTTATTTTTCCCCCAAAGCCCCAGTAGATAGTTGTATGTCATAGCTGGACATCCTTCTAGTATGCTGTACGTGGGACACAGCCTCAGCATGGCGGGAGAAGTGGTGCGGCGGTGCACGCCCGGGATCCAAATCCTGGCCGCCAGTAGCGGAGCGCACTCACTTAACCGCTAAGCCACAGGGCCGGCCCAAGCCCAGTATATTTTAAAGTCTTCATGATTATCATTGCTAACGAATCTGATCCAAGGCAAAGGTAGAATTTTGTCTTTCTTCCTATTCTTACTTGGGCATTTGCATCTGGAATTGAAGACAGTCTAATATAATTTGATTTGTTTTGTTCTTCTCTCTGGTGGTCACCTGCTAGTCAATAGGGAGGTAGCTATTGGGGGCATAATTGATACAGCCCAAATGTCAGATGTGCTTCTTTGCCCCTTTAAGATCTAAACGCAATGGGCTTGAACCTCGGTTTTCACGTTTTATAACGCTTGTAAGTTTATAAGGATTTCTGTGAATTCCACGAGGGCTTGTGCTCTCATAGTCTCTACCTCTAGTCTCCTTTTTCAACTCAGAAAAACAAAGCCCATTGCTCAATATCCCTACTCACTCACCCTCACAACTCCCCTCTCTCACAAAGCATTCTTGTGTGCAATGGCCTTTACTGAAGTCTTGAGTCACAGAAAGTGGTTACTTCATGTGTGTGACAAACAACTTACCCCACTTTGTGCATTCCAGTGCTTAAACACCCTTCTGTCCGCCTGCCACGGGAGTGTTTCTTCTGACCCTTTACCCATGTAGCACCTAGCCTTATGCTGATTTTCTTACTCATCTTTTTCCTTCCCCCTCCTAGCTCTCTTTTGACCTCTCTCTCCTATTTTGTCAAGTGAATTCCAAATTGTCCTCCCTTTTTCACACAGAGCAGTTTAGTGTTCCCCCCTCTCCTCCCACACTTACATATCCACACTTCTCAAGGCCCTAAGTAGGACAAAAGGACCTTCTATGTATTAGGGTCTATCCTTCTTGGAGGGCAGTTGTGGTTAAAAATAGCATTTTGTTGTTATAATAACTAATGTTTCCTGTTCACTGAGTGCTTACTATGTGCCTGGCACTCTATCACATGCTTTCCAAGGCCTATCTCATTTTCTTATTTGATCTTCACAAGGACCCTGGGAGGTACCTCTCATAATTGCTATTTCTACAAATTCAGAAAAATGAGGTAATTTGCATAAGATCACACAGCAAGCAAGTGGAAGAACAGGATTGAAAACCAGATCTGTCTGGCCCCAAGTCTGTGCTTTTTCCACTTCACTACATGGCCTTTCAGGGGAAGGAGCAGGAGAAAGAGAAAGCAATCAATCAGAAGACCCAGGGCTACATAAACGCGATACTGTCTGTTCTCATTGTCTCACAACTTTAAAAGGATGGTTTTATATTATTATTCCTGTGAAGAATGAATAATCATTATCATCACATCCATTTTGAAATGAGCAAACTAGGGCCTTGTGGGAGAAAGGGAGTGAGGGAGCACGCAGGGTAGGATATTTGATTTTGAGATCACAGAGGCACTAGCTCTGGGTGATTGAGAAGTTCAGGGTGCGACCATGGGAGTCAGTGGGCAACATGATGTGAAGAGGAGACCAAGGACTGAGGGATCAGGAAACCACACGGCTACTGAAGTCACCAGGAGCATGGCCAGACAGGGGCTAATGAGGACAACCATGGACCAGGAGCTGAAATTTTCAATGCATAAGGAGCAACTGGGGGTCAGTGATGTCCTTGATGAGGAGGGGTAGGTTGTATGACTGGAGAGCAAAGGAGAAGGAGTTTTTCTACAAGGGTGGAAGTGGCAATGCTGACCCCATCTCCTGGTTTTTCAGTGTGTGGGGAGTGGGATAGTGAGAAGGCTTCTTGCAGAGGGCTACAAGAGGTCCTGGGGGAGGTTCAAGTTTCAATAAAGGCAAAGCAGTCACTGAGTACTCTGAAGAAGCAGAGGGTATAGGAGAGTTTGTTGACAAAGGAACAGGGTTCTACGGGGCACAGAGGAAAGGTCTGCCAGGGAGGTAGCCAGTGGGAAAGTGAGTGAAAACAATATAAGGATGAGTCTGAGAGAGAAGTCAGAGAACCAGAGGGGCTGTCAATTGGGTGGTTCCCCAGATTGGAGAGACAAATTGTAGATAGGGTCATAAAGGAACTTGCGGAAAAAGAGGTTTTGGTATTTGACTCAGACCTCTAAGATTTGAGATGGGGGAAGAGTGTGGGGAAGGACAATGATTCTAAACCAAAGCTGGCAGCTGGCTCCTGTGACCTCAGGAAGACTTGAAGTGAAGTCTAAGTCAGGATGGGAGGGTGGAGTGCTAATTGCCTCCTATCCCTGCCTCCCCTGGTGGAGCTGAGACTTCCTAACTACATGGCAGGAACATTTTCTCACTCCAGCTACTGCTGGTAATGAGGAGCCATTGAAAGCTTTTGTTTTCTTTTGTTTTAACAACGTTGATGGTAACATGGTGACATTTAGAACAATCACTCAGCCTGCTGGTGTAGAGGATGTTTGGAGAGTGGAGGCAGGGAGACCCATTAGGAGGCTGTTACATTAGTCCAGGCAGGAAGTGATGAGGCCTGAACCAGAGTGAGAGCAGTGGAGACAGAGAGGAAGGGTAGGGATAGGATAGTTAAGGAGGTGTTATTACCAGACTGATGCGATGTGGGCATGAAGGAGTGCGTAGGGTGGAGGACAATGCCCAGGTTTCCAGCTCAGTGTCCTCTTGTCGTCAGCAGTCCAGGTTCTGCCTCTCTCCCTGGGCTTTTGTGCGGATGAAACGACATAACTGACAGGAAAGTGCTTTGGAGATGGCAAAGCTCGGTACCCAAAGCTCCCTCATCACCCTAGTAAGTTCAGTCTATGGAAAATTAACATAAATCACGATAGCCACCCAGATATTGGGGAGCTCACGGCCCCCGAGACACCTTGGATTCTCTACAACTGTGGGGAACTGGGGGCCGGGGCGGGGCGATAACGGACTCTGCCCCTGGGCGGGGCGTGGGTGGGGCCTGGACGCGGCTGGAGCCGAGCGGGAGCCCGAGCCCGAGCCCGAGCCTCAGCCCTAAGTCGCGGCTGTGGGCCCCAGACCCGCCCCGCACCGCCTGCTCCGCGAACCCCGCTGCGCCTGCCGCCGCCGCCGCCAGGTCCCGCGCCCCGCTGCGCTGCTGGAGCGAGCCGCTCGTCCCGCGCCCGGAGTCCCAGGTAAGGGGCGCGGCCCGGCACCCGCCCAGGAGGATCAGGGACCGGTCCCCGGCTCGGGGCGCTGCGGACAGCGAGTGGCACTGAGAAGGAGCGCAGGGCAGAGGAGGGGACCCCGAGGAGAAGGGGCTGAGGGAGGCCGCTAAGGAGGGGGCACCGCAGCGGTGAGGAGGTGGGCGCTAGCCTGGGGAGGGGGCACTGAGGGGTCCACCCGGACCGTCAGGGCCGCACGGGGAGCTCCCAGGGTGGGGGGCAGCAGGAGAAGGGGAGCCAGAAAGAGGGCGCCCCGGCTGGGGGAAAAGGGCGAGCAGCAACCGGAGCGCAGTGAGGGATCGCAGAGGGGAAAACGCGGGGCGCTGGGGGCGGGGGAGATGGAAGGAGGGAGCTGAGCGGGGAGGTGCGGGGAGAGGACACCGGACAGCCGAGGGGCGAAAGGGGTCCTGAAGCGAGAGGATTGAAGGGACGAGGCAGGGGGGAGGCGTGGAGGTGAGGAGCTAAGGGGAGAGGACTGGGTCGGCGGGGGTCGTTTTGAACTGGAGAGGAGTGAGGTGACGAGAGGAAGGGAAGCTGTGCAAGAGGGGGTGCTGGTCGGGGACAAGGTAGAGGGGCGAGGGGACGTGAGTGTGGAGAGCTGGGAGCGAAAAGGCTGCGGAGCCCAGCTAGGGACGGGCCAGGGTGGGGTAACCTTGACGGGGGGGCAAGGGGTAGGGCTTGGAGGCGGGAAGCCTGGAAGAATGGGAAGGTAGGAGGCAAGGCTGGGTCTACCCTGACTGCAGAGGAAGGGGGCAGGGAACTGGCGGAGGGAGAGGGCAGTGGCCTTGGATCTGGGCCCTGGCGCCTGAGTTCTGGGCAGGGTTGGGGGTGGAGGGGCACTGGAATAGAGCAGGGGTCTGGCGGCTGGGAGTGGAGGAACTGTTAAGGAACTTGGAGAGTTTAGGGTGGTGGGTGCGCTGGGTCAGGTTGGGGAGGAGGCCAGGTGTGGGTTGTGGTGTGAGAGTGGAAAGATAATGGGGGCCTGGAGTGGAGTCCTTGGGCACCCAGGTGCTGGCTGTGTCTTAGCTCCTCAGAAGGCCGAGGAGGGGGCACAAGCACTGGACCTTGTTACATGCTACCTGGGATCACAGACAAGAAGAGAATCGTGGACAGAAAAATTCATCCACAGGCAGCTCTGTTCTGGAGTCCAAGTGTGGGAAGGGGCTTTAGGGAGGGCAGGGCGGCAGCATCTGGAAGCTAATAGAGGTGCACAGAAGGGTGGGAGAAAGACAGGGCCCTCCATCCCAACCTCCTGGAATCCAGATGGAAAGGGGTGGGGGACAGTAAAATGAGAGGATGTGTGTGTGCACAGGTGGATGCTCACCTGTTCTCTGCCTATAAAGGGAGGAAGACAATGGAAGTCCGTGAAAAGCCCTATCATGGAAGTGGAAGTCTTGGCACTGTGTTAGCCAGAGGAGAGACATTTTGCCAGAGGACCATGGGTAAGGGAAGGCTTCCTGGTCATGAAGGGTTTAGCTAGCAGCGGAGGAAGGCATATTCTTATCAAAGGAAACACTATGGAAAAAGGCAAAAATCTAAAATAATCTCCAGTCCAAGAAATAAATCTCCAGTTTCTTAAGGATTATGATATGAAGGGAAGCATCAGTAACCTATAGAGGATGCTTAACAAGGGTTTCCCCTCTGAGCTCAGAACTCCTAAGGTTCCTCTCCATCACTGCAGAGTGCAGCACAGGGCCTGGCACACAGTAGGTGCTCAGTGAATGTTGATTGAATGAACAGTTGACCCGTGGTGGTGCTCCTGCCTCAATTTCCTCCTCCACCCCCAAGAATTGTTGTGAGAAGCAAATATGATAATGTGGGTGAAAAGAGCTTCGTGGACTGTAAAGCACTGTGCAAAAGAGAGAGGCCACTAATATTATTACGCAGGTGTGCCTACATTCTGTGCAAGATAGAATGCATTAAAATCGCCCAGTAGAGTGCCTGGCATTTAGTAGGTGCGCGATAAATGGTAGCTATTATACTGTTTCTGTGGCTCTGAGAGACCTGGGGAAACCATGAGGAGGTGGGCTGGGCTGGTGGTGATAGGTTGGCAGTGGGGAATGGTCTAAAGAAAGGTTGAATTAGAAAAGTTGGTGGAATGTGGCTTTAAAGAGGAGGTTGCATGTAGTAGGGTGAGGTCCACATTTGCCCACCTCCCTCCTTATCCTCACTAATAAATGTTCTCAATAGGAAGATGAATTACATTTATTGAGCACCTGCTATATGTCATCTAGATGCTTTATCAGCATTGACTATAATCTTCCCAACAGTGCTTGTTTTATCAACGAGGAAACTGTGTCTTACGTAAAATTTCTTGCTAAGATCTCATAGCTAATAAATGGTAGACCTGGAAACTGAATCTAGTTTGTGTGATTTGGACCTCCAAGTTATTTCCACTACCCAGGATGACTTGGTAGAAGAAAACATGAAGCACACAGACCAAAAAAAAAATTTTTAAGGGGTTTGTAAAGCACTCTCCCATACACAGATCTTAATTCTTACAACGGTTTGCCAGGAAGTCATTTTATTAACTTTTTATAGATGAGGAAACTGACCTGCCTAAGGTTACACAAGTGCTGAGAGAGCCAGGGCTCAACCCAGGTCTCTCTGACTCAATCTTGTGCTCTTTCCATCAAAAGAGAAGTTCATCCATTCACTTCTTCACTACATGTATCCAGTTGATCTCTTCTTGCTGGATTTTAGGGCTCTCTCCTCCTCTCTCCCCTCTTTCCTGGCTGAAGTTGTCTTCTTCCTTAGGTGCTTGTTCCTGCTGCCTATCGGACTGAAAGCGTTATTTGCTTTTCGCATCAACCCTTGGAGGAGCCATTTCCTTCTTTCCTCCAGCCTGGGACCAGGGATGACTCCCCAGATGGTCCCTGGGCCTTCATCTGTCTTGCTTGTCACGGAGATAGTGAGCTACCCAACTCTATCATTTATGTGACTGTCACAAAAGAGAGGGAAGATCTGATTGATGCTTATCTTACAAATGCGGTTCTCTGCACGCATCACTGTGCAGTGACCTGTCTGCTCAGATCTGCCTCAGGCAGCTGCCTGCTGGGATGCTTTTTGCCTCTCTTCTAAATGTCTGTGTAGCCCCTGCCCCCACCTCCTGAAAAGACCCCTTGGGGGCTTCCATCTGAACGTGCCTTCCAACTGAACCTCTGGCCCTCTGCCTCTCCTTATTCTCACACCACCTACTGGGAAAGCTACGCTGTGTGCACATAAACAGATGCTGACAGCACAGTGTGGCAAGTGCTAGGAAAGAGACGCTCAGGGTGCTGGAGATGCTTCTTTACTTACCCTAATATTGTTGTGGTTTTTATTTTCCCTAAACCCAGCCCAATGTGGAAGTCATTAGATAACAGAAGTTCTAGTATGACACTCCGGCTGCCTTGCTGTATGACCTTGAACAAATCATTTCTCTTTGTGGATCCTCAATTTTTTTACCTATAAAATGAAGGGAAGTGGATCAGACCAGGAATTGAATCTATTTTTGACTTTTGCCTCACTCCCCACTCTCACACCTGTGGCAGACATAGCTCATAAAGACAGGCACATTTCCTGCTGATTCTGCACGAGGCCATGTGCATTTTTCTCAACACTGTACAGAGCACATTTATATACTTTGTCTTATGTAAAATTCACAGCAGCCTTGTGAGGTAGATATTTTTACTATATCATAGATGAGACGCTGAGGCTCAGAGTTTAAGTGACTTGCCCAAGTTCATACATTGAATTACTGGGAAAGCTGGAAGCGGTAGCCAGGCTTTTGTTATGATAAAGATGCTGCTCCAAAATCCCTTGTAATTCCAGCATTCTAAGAGTGTAAACAGCTGCATCAGAAAAATGAAGATCAATCGTATGACGTTTACATCGATAGGCTGGTGCACGCAAATACTCAATGAATGTTTATTGAAAGGAGTAACATGCCCTAAGGATTTGCTACAGGTCCAGTGTTGACTGGGTATAAGGATGGATAAAACTCAGCTGAATCCACAAGGGGAGGCAGTTAATTGTAAAACAAGCTCAAATAATGGAGCCCAGATCGAGGAGAGGGCGGTTGAAGAAGATTTGACTGCAGAGGTGAATTAAAGGGGCCAGTGAAATAATTTTTGAGTACCTCCCATGGGCCAAGAAATCATGCCAGATTATTTACATACGGTAGCTGCTCATTCTACTTGTACCACAGCTCTGTGAAGTAGGTGGTATTTTCTCTATTTTAAGGTAAAAATGCTGTGGCTTGGAGAGGCGATATGACTTGCCCAAGAATTCAGTTGAGGAATGAGTTCCATTTCTCGAGATCTCTCCTAAGGAAATAAATAGGAAAGTGAATAAATATTTATGTAAAGAAATGGTCATTGCACTCAAATTTATAATAAGAATAGAAAAATAACTTATTTGTACAACATTAAAGAATTGGTCATATGACACATCCACAGGATGGAATATAATGTAGCCAATTGAAATGATATTTATGAAGAATTTTAAAAGTCTCAGTAAAATATTCACGATATAATGTTAAGTGAAAAGGAGCAGGATACAAAACTAATGAAAGATGATCTCAGCTATTAAAATATACATAGAAGATATAGACTAGAATGTATGCTATATTTGTTAACAAATGTAAACAGACCTCTATGCTTTTACATGCAAAGACTATTTCTGAAGGATACATACATTGTAATATGTTTGCCTCTGGGGAGGGGAACTGGGGATTGGGAATCAGGGTGCAAGCAAGACTTACTTTTCACTGTAAACCTTTAGGTTCCATGTTATTTATTTTTTATGCTAAAAATTAAAATAATGCAAACTACAGATAGTGATAAAGTAATTGCAGTAGTTGCAGATAGTAAAAGTGTGTTAGTAAAAGTGTTTGAATTATTCTCAATGTGTGTTACATTTTAAATTAACAAATAATAAGCTATAATTTAAAATAATTTAAATAGATGGCACTTTTTTTTTTTTTTTTTGAGTAAGATCAGCCCTGAGCTAACATCCATGCTAATCCTCCTCTTTTTGCTGAGGACGACTGGCTCTGAGCTAACATCTATTGCCAATCCTCCTCCTTTTTTTCCCCAAAGCCCCAGTAGATAGTTGTATGTCATAGCTGCACATCCTTCTAGTTGCTGTATGTGGGACGTGGCCTCAGCATGGTCAGAGAAGCGGTGCTTCGGTGCGTGCCTGGGATCTGAACCCGGGCTGCCAGTCGTGGAGCCCGTGCACTTAACCATTAAGCCATGGGGCTGGCCCAATAGATGGCACTTTGTTGCATGAAAAAATAAGGAAGGAAATACACTCAAAATGTTAACAATGGTAGTTTCTGAGTGAGTGGGATGTCTGGTAATTAAAAAAATTTTTTTCACACTCATTTTTTTCTAATTTTTTATAATGAATATGTACTTTCAAAGTCAGGGATACAAAACAGTTTAGCAGGTGATGGCACCCTCCCCTCCAATCTCCCTTTCTTCTTCCATGTAAATGCTACGCCTCAGTCTCCAAGTGTGCTGGGCATGTTCCACACCCACCCAGTGAGCCTTGTCACGGGGCAGATTGATACAGGAATGGGGCTGAGGGTCTCAGATAAAGGCTTGGGAGCTGGGAGAAAAGAGAACAGAGGCTACCAGAGGCTTGTGGTGGCATATTCAAAGAAGTATTATTAAAGGGCTGCTAATAATCCCATGTGTGTCTGACCTTTCTTCAAGAGGGCTTTAAACCTTCTATATTTGTCAGCTCCTTGTCCTTACAGCTCACCTGAGAGGCCGATAAAGCTCAATCCACCAGTCTCACTCTCTTTCTTTTCCTTTGGGGAAAAAAGCAGGAATTCCTAAAGAGAGTGATACCCTGGACATTATCTCACGTTAGGGCTATGCTCCCACCCTCCTCTGACCACTTACCGAACCCATCCAAGTACCCAGTGCTGAGCGCAAGGAGAGATTGCAAGTGGAGAAGCAGGGCACCTGTGGCTGGTGAAATGCAGAAGATGCAATTAAAGACTCAAATAAGAGTATGGGACCAACTGCTGGATTACGGGGTTCTGCTCCAAAGTGTTCTAGGAAAGGAGAGGATGGTGGCAGGTCTGAGAGGGCTGGGGTCTCAGGGAATGGCTGGCGCGTAATAAATACTTGTTGAATGAATGAATGAGCAAATGAACAAAAATAAACAAAAGTTATAGATTTTGAAGGATTTGGAATAGTAATGACTTATGTTCACACCTGTGGGGGATTTACCAGTTTATTAAGGTCTTAATCATTGTTCTCTCATTTGACTCCTCTAATAGCCCTGTGAGAAAAGCAGGGCAGAAATTGTTCTCCCCATTTTCCAGATGATGAATTTGGGCCCCAGAGTGGTGATGTGACTTTTATTAATTCAACACACATTTACTGGGTGCGGATGTGGATTATGTGCTAGGACTTGTGCTAGAAGCTGGGGATGCAGAAATGAATTACATTAAGTCCTACATGCTCAGTCTAAAGGAGGAGCTGGAATAGTAAACAGTTCTGAAATGATACAAATGCTGTTAGGGTGCTCTGGCAGCGCAGGGGCAGGAGTGCATCCTCTCCATGCACAGGAACAGGAGACTTCACGTGGATCTGCAAGGATGAATCGGAGTCTATTAGGAGGAGAAAAGGGTTGTAGGCAGAAAGAAAGAATACATGTCTAAAGGGACAAAAGCAAAAAAATAATGTGGCATATTTGGAGTAAAGTGTGTAATTTGGTATAAAATAGCACAGGTCGGTGGGAGATGGCTTAGGGGAAGATAAAGTTCAGAGAGTTTATTCTTTGGTTAGTTGGTTCTCTGTCAAGTTGAACAGTTTGGGCTTGATCTTTAGAGCTTTGAGAAGCCATAAAAGTTTTTGCAACAGAGGAATGATAGCCCTGTATGGGCCTTTCCTGGAATGTTCATGTGATTGCTGTTTTTGGCTTTTTTTCTTTTCAAAGCTCCTCAGCTCAGGAGCTGCCTTCTACAAGAGCCTCTCCTTGACCACCTGCCTCCAGGTTGGGTTAGATGCTTCTTGTGGGCTTCCTCAGCCAAGGCGTCCCTCTGTCTTATCACTTATCTATTGCATTGTTACTTTGTGTTTATGTGCTTTTTATGCTAATCTGTGGCCACTCAGAGGTCAGACACCATGTCTGATTCATATTTGTATTCTTCATGCCCAGCACGGGGCTCGACCCAGAGCAACGTGCTCAGTAAATATTTGTTGAAGGAATGAATGGGAGGAGCTGGGTTCCACCCCAATCCTGAACCAACATTTGGGGCAGGTGCAGTGATGGGGTGATTCTGAGTAGTGTGCGTTTCCTCAGTGATGCTGGGGTGGGGAGTAAGTGAATGGCGGGGTGACCATTAAAAGATTGGTGACTCAGAGTGACACTGGAGGTGTGTTCCTGAATAACTACAAGTCTCTCCTGCAGATGGCTTCAGTGACTGATGGTAAAGCAGGAGTCAAGGATGCCTCCGACCAGAATTTTGACTACATGTTCAAACTGCTCATCATCGGCAACAGCAGTGTTGGCAAGACCTCCTTCCTCTTCCGCTATGCTGATGACACCTTCACTCCAGCCTTTGTTAGCACTGTGGGCATCGATTTCAAGGTGAAGACAGTCTACCGCCATGAGAAGCGAGTGAAGCTGCAGATCTGGGTGAGTACTGGGCATCCTGGGCAGGATTGTCCTAAGAGGTAACTGGTCTGCTAGTACAAGGGCTGGCTGGGAGGTGGGACCAGTTTGGAACTTCTGGGTCTTTGGCATCTGGCACCAATGCTGCTGCAGGTCTGGGTCCTGGGCTGCCTCTTGCTGGTTTTATACAAGTTGGCTCTCCTCTGGGGGCTCAATTGCTTCTGCTGCTTAACTGTCCAAGAAGCTTTGTCCTGGTCTGTATAAGTGAGTGACCAAGAATCTGGGCTTTGGAGTTAGAGACTTGGATTTAAATTCCAGTTCTGCCACTTACAAGTCATGGAACCTTGACTAAATTACTTAACATCTCTGGGCTACCATCTCCTCTTTGGGTATTATAACAGCATCTACATCATAGGGCTGTTGAATTCTTAGCATAGTTCCTGGAACATAGTAAATACACAATAAATATTAGCTACTGTATCCATAATTTGTCACCATGTAACAAATCACTTCAGAACTTGATGGCTTAAAACAACGATGATAATTCATTATCACACAGTTTCTGTGGATCAGACATTTGAGAGTGGCTTGGTTTCTGGCTTGTTGCCTCTCATGAGGTTACATCCAGATGTTGGCTTGGGCTGCAGTCATCTGAAGGCTTGAGTGGGGCTGGAGGATCCCCTTCCAACGTGATTTACTCACGTGTCTGGTGCTGGCTGTTAGCAGGAGGCCTTAGTTCCTTCCCAACTGGCCCTCTCCACAGAGCTGCTTAAGTGTCTTCATGGCATGGCAGCTAGCTTCTCCCAGAGGGAGAGATCCAAGATACCAAAGAGGAAGTGTCTACACCACCAGGCGGGCTCCGGCAGGTATTCTTTTAATACATTCCTGTTTTACAGAAGAAAAAAATTCAGACTCAGAGATTAATTAACTTGCGTTAGGTCAACCACACAGCTGCAAAGTGGGATTCCAACTCAGATCTCCTGATCCTAAATTGTGTGCTCTTTTCTCTACACTGTGCATGTTAGGTCTTATAGAGCCCATATTTCCATTAATGATAATGTTAAATATTAATTTATATAGAGATAAAAGTTCATTTTGTTCATTTAATCTCTATTGAAAGTATTGAGGAATCATAAATCATTAGAAATGTGAGAAGCTATACAGACCATTTGTTCATTGGTTCTAGAAGTGTGGTCTCCAGATCAGCAGCATCAGCATCACCTGAGAATTGGTTAGAAGCACAAATTCTCAGGCCCCTCCCCAGACCCACTGAATCAGAAACTCTGGGGCATGGCTCGACAATCTGTGTTTTAATAAGCCTTCCAGGTGGTTTTGAGGCAGGCTAAAATTGAAGAACCACTGATCTAGTTTAACTTCTTCATGCTGAGAATCAATAAGCTTTATTAAGTACCTATTATGTGCGAGCGCTTCCACTTGTGTTATCTGACATCCTCCTTGCACCCCATGCACAGAGGTGGGTGAGAGCACAGGATATTTGGGGCATGGTGAGCAATCTAGTGAAACTGGAGCAAGGCTGTGAAAGAGCAGCTAGGGGTGCTCAGAGACAAATTTGCTGGTGACGCTGTCAGGTAGCAGCTTGTGGATCAGGGAGACCTTGCACAACAAACAAAAAGTTCTGGCCGTGGGCTGGTGGGCACATGTCTGAAGACTCCTTAGGGAGCTGAAGAAACTATTACAGTTTATTTTTATCTATTAATATGAAATAAATTTTTACTAATGTTTACTACATGGATTGACACAGATGTCTTCATTTGATCTCCACATCAGGTGGTCACATATCCTACACTTGAAAAATCTTCAGGTAGGAGACATTCTGCCCTCCTAAGGGGTTGGCAGTGGCGGCTCCTTCACTCCTTCTATCATTTTCAGCCCATTGTGAGCTTTTGCAGTTTTCCTGTGTCTGGTTATGTGGATTTATTGATTGTACTACCTAATTTTAACTAAGTGAACCCTCACAGTGGATATGGGCTTTAAAAGAGTCCTGCAAAGGAACTTCTGATTGAAGATGATACTAATTATAGTGAGCCCGAGTGAGCCCAAGAAAATGGCTGAACTGATGTTTCTCCGACTCCTAGCACAAGTTCATTGTCAGCCACATTTCGAGGTAAAATCAATGATGATCTAATTAGAGCTGACATAGTCAATCACATTGCTCTTGCTAAAAAAAATATTAGCAAAGAGTTTTTGTGTATGTGTCTATATGTGCTTTTCTGTAGCAAAAAATAAAGTTTTCTGTACTGTTCATAAATCCATTAAATACATAATTGCATTAAAATGTAAACATTTAAATATTATTTATGTCATTTTAATGTATTATTTATGTTATTTAATGTATTGTAGATATATTGTATATATAATCTAAGTAAATGTACAAATATTGCGGGTGCTGTGCCTACATTTTTCTGACTTACAGGGGTATAAATTTGGAGACCACTACAGTAAGCACTGGGGAGCCATAGAAGAGTTTTAAAAAGATAAGATTTGTATTTTAGAAAAATCTCTGGCTTCAGTTTGGAGGGCAGATGGAAGCAAGGCAAAGAAACTAGTGGTTTCAGTAAGTTTAAGGGCCTGAATTAAGGGTATAAGTCTGCTTGGACTACTAAAAATATAAGAGACTGGGTGGCTTAAACAACAGAAATTTATTTTCTCACAGCTCTGGGGACTAGAATTCCAAGATCAAGGTGCCAGCAGGATTGACGTCTGGCAAGAGCTCTCCCCTTGGGGTTGCAGACAACTCTCTTGCTGTGTGCTCACATGGCATTTCCTTGGTGCATACACATGGAGAGAGATTGAGAGAGCTATCAGGGCCCCACTCATATGACCTCGATTAACTTTAATTACTTCCTTAGAGTCCCCATCTCCAAATATAACCATACTAAACGTTAGGCTTCAAAGTTTGAATTTGGGGAGGACACAAATATTTAGTCCATAACGCTAAGACAGTGTCAAAATTATATAAGGGATGGAAATGAGGAGAGAGGTTTAGGACTAGAATTTACAGGTTTTGATGATCAATTAATTGTACAGGGAGAGGGAGGAACACATATCTACTTATCTATATCTGCTTACATGTATTTACTTTTGTACACAAAATTTCCATGATTTTACCAAAGCTGTGTGAGCTTTGGTAAGTCACTTCACTTCCATGAATAGATGATATCCTCAACTGTAAAAGAGACTTTCACAGGTTGGGGGGGGGCTGCATGTGATAACACACTATTGTGCCTGGCACATATCAGGAATGCAGTCAATGTTAGATTCTATCCTTTCTCTGCTCCTGATTCACATGCAAAGGATGACTGGGTCCCCTCCCAAGGTTTCCCACCTGTGGTTCCAGGAGTGCTGGAACAGCATCCAGGGACTCACTAGCGCTATATGAAGTGTTCAGTTAAATTCCTCCAGCCCATTTAATCTCTCCCAGGGGATTTCAGAAAGCCATCGTCAGGGTGGAAGGTGGAGAGGGAAGAAGAGGAGGTTATGAGCATTGCTGAGCAGGACCATTCACAAAAGGAGATTCTGTCATCTCAAGGGGATGTTGGATGCTGAGGGCATTGGTAGTGCCTTGCTCCCTGGGGCCCCTCCCCACATAGGTCCCTGAGAGCCCCCTCTGTTTTCTGAGAGGTTAATTATTGTAGATCAGAGAAGAGACTCTTACTGGGGAGGTGGAAATAGGGGAGGAGTCTCATTAATAGGGAGTGAGAGCACACACAGGTGTGAAGGGAAGGAGACTCGGTAACTCCACAGCAACAGACCTGACTAGAGGCCACTTACTGCTGGGTGCTGGTTGCTAAGCAACCACTAGAGCCCTGTGGGAAGAGAAGAGTGGGAGAGGGCCTTCTACTACCTCCACGGGGGCCCATTGCAGAGGCTGTTGGTCAAGGGAAGAATCGGGGGTCTGGGAGGACTGAGCTGACCTAGGACTCTGGATTCTTGGGTTCCAGTCCTGGCTCTGCCCTGCAGTCGTTGTGTGATCAGGAGTGACCCTTCCCCTCCATGGGCCTGTTTCCTCAACTATCAAATGGAAAAAGTAATCCTTGCTTTGCTTGCCTCATGGGTTGTTATGAAGATCAGATGAGGAAATGGAAGGGAAAGCCCAGGAGACCTATGAAGACTTGAGTAGATACAAAGGACTATGGATATTGTCAGCAATATATGAATGTGTTTCTTCTCGTACGTGCTTTTTTTTTTTTTTTGAGGAAGAGTGGCCCTGTGCTAAGATCTGTTGTCAATCTTCCTCTTTTTTTCTCCTCAAACCCTCAGTACATAGTTGTGTATCATAGTTGTAGAGTTGTAGCTCTTCTATGTGGGACACCGCCTCAGCATGGCTTGATGAGCAGTGAGTAGGTCCGCACCCAGGATCTGAACCGGCGAACCCCGGGCTGACGAAGCGGAACGCGCACAATTAACTGCTGTGCCACCGGGCCAGCCCCTTCATGTATGTGCTTTAAATCATTCTTTGTGTCTTTCGTACCTTCCCCCTCACCCAGGGAGGTAGTTATCTCCTTAATGGCTGGTTGAAACCAGAGAAGTCAAGTTACTTGTGCGGAGCCAAACAGTAAACAACTTCATCCTTTCATTCATTTAATACACATTTATCTGGTACTCACTCTGTGCCAGGCATTGTGCCAGCTGTGGGGAAACACCCTTCCTGCTCTCATGGAGTGTACACTCCAGTAGGATAGACACTAAGTACATGAATGAAGAATATCTAATTTCATCGTGATGAGGGCCCTGAAGGAAAAGAATAGACTTGTTTCAAACTCAGGCACTGGGACTCAAAGCTCAGGAATCACTGAACTGGACTTAGGTCTCATCCCTGGGCTTGCAGCTGAGGTTCAGGCTCAACTGTACTCATGGTTTAAAAGGCTAGCTTAGCTGATGAACTTCACCATACCAGCTCACCCCAGGCCTTGTCCCTGTCAGGGTTCGTGGTGGCAGGGGCCTGCATTGTGGAGAGACAGAATATCCTGCTTTCCAATCCCACCAGTGAGGCTTCTTTTTGG